CCATTAATTAATTCTATGTTCTATTATGAATATCCATATGTCGATCGCTGCATAACATTATCTATCTGTCACATGTTCGATAAGCGAATCTTATTGAAACAGTATAAATAAAGGTATACCACTGGCACACAAGTGTGTGGTAGTCTTGCATGACATAATAAACGACCAAGAGACTCTATATTTCTGAATTTCGGCAAAAGTTTGTACATAGTTACTCTGGGACAATGCACAGATCTGATTAGTTTTGTGTAAAAATCGTTGATACTAATTGCCCAATTTGCATACTGATTAGTAAATGTTTGACTTTTCCACTGATATTTCATGTGCTAGTCATTAAATTTCAATGAACTTGGTATATAGGTATATCCATTCATATTAATTACCTAATTTACATTATTAGTACATGTATTGGATCAAGTATAAGACTCTCAAAATCTATGTTCACAGATGGTGATGCAGATTTTAAGTCAGATAAAACTCTTCGTATTTGGTTCCTTAAGGAATATAAAATCTTTCTGGTAAAATATCGCATTCTGGATCCTGAACAGCTTTAGCAGATAAGATTTTATATCTCCCAAAACCGTGTACGCAGAGTTATCTATATATATATAATATGTAACAAATCCAAGCAACAATACCCAACTATAAGGTTAGGAAGTTATTATTATTATTAGTGTTCAGCACAAACCATGTCAGCACAGTTTTGTAATAGTTTTACTTGTTTTAAACTGTACTTTAAGACATCTCAAATGTGTCATAAGTGAATCTTGTTTTGTAGATAATGAAGAATACTTCAATAAGAGCAGTCCTGATGAAACACGTGATCTAATTGAGAGAGCCCTTGCATCAGAAGTTGCACGACAAGATAAAGAAAGACAAACTACTCTACCTGGACCCACTGTATTTAGTCAGACTAAACGCACACAAAAACCTGGGCTGACTGGTACAATGAAGGAAGACATAGTGGAAACGTTAAGAGAAATGGGTGAAAATAAATCTGAAGCTCTTAAGCGCATTGAACAGAGGTTAAAGAAAGCAGAAAACACGGATTCAAGTGATTTTTATTTTTCACTTTGGGATTTTGGGGGTCAAAGTTTTCATTATATTACGCATCAGGTACGTGTATATTAATTTCACTTTTTTAACTTACACTCATTCAAAATTTCAGTTGATCAATGGTTTATGTTATAGGCGAACTGCTAAATATGCAACTCTGCAACTGCCCAGTTTTCACTGACAGATGTAGAGTACACATCAAACGTGCTAGGCAACACAGCAACGTATGTAGATACCAATCTACTTAACACAACTGTTGCTAAGTAGTGATAGGTATGCGAGGTCATATATCTTGAATGTACCTGTAGCTAGCTCACACACACATCAGTTATTACCTCCATGTTAGTGCAATTGTTAGTCTCGTTCAGGTACAGCCATAAAATATAATGCGGGCTTCATCCGTATATGCATCTTGAATTTTCAAAGTGAATGTTCCGGCGAAGCACTCCACTATCACCTTGAAGTATTTCATTAAGAATATGTGTATGTGACAATGCCCTCACAGTTTGGAATCAGTTTTCCAACAGCCAATCATATTGCTTCTTTCATCAACGCGCCTGGCCAAGCTATCAACATTGTCGGCCGGAGCTAAGTCACAATACACTTTAAAGACGCGCACCACTCTACCATGTATTTCTATGGGTTCTGCACGAGCTGCTGAGGAACGCCGGTCGAACAGCACAAACTTAACTTTAAAGAAATCCTAAACAACCAAATTTAAATATGTTGCATATGCAGGGTAATCTTGTTACACGGTTCAGGGGGTGTCAACAACCATCCCGAAGTACTGTTTTCGGAGAGTTTTTGGCCTTTGTTTTCACCATGATGGTTGCCAGGCAGTGAAAATGCTCGCACAGTGGAAGCTGTGTTGGCTTGCAGTGGATGTCGAGGCAATACAATATTCGGACAAAAGCCGTTCAGGGTACTTAGTTCCGAGTCTGATGTGTTCGTTTTTAGTCACACTGGAAATGGTAAATCATTATGTTATTATGCTTTACCAGCCTTGCGACCATCGAGCGTGGTAATAGTGTTGAGTATTATAGAAGAGTAGGTGTTATACCTCAAAGCTCATGGTGTCACGGCAACATAAATTGACAGAAATAAAGCCGAAGATGAAGACATCAGAAATGCAAAGCCCCAAGCGCTTTTTGGTAGTCATTGTAACAAAGCTTTCTATTGGTCGGGAAACTTTCTATCGTGCAACCACGTGACATACACGGTTATGAATAGAATTACTGCACGGTGTTGTGGAGGGAGGAATGTTCGAACGGAGCAACACCGTGCAGGTGAACGATGCCATATATGTGACTGCATGTGTGTTTGTACATTACCGGCATGTCAGAAGAAGATGTCAATCAAATATTTTAATGAAGAATTATGTGTTGCAAGAGCTATGCAAATATTTTTTTGTATATGAATTTCTTAAGTGGATCTTTCCTAATTTTCGTCAATATAGTTCAATTTGTGCCAACCATTTGGTACATGGGAGGGGGAGTCACTGGACAATTTTTTTGCCTTCATTATTTTTTTTACAGTTACAATTTATTCAATGTTCGGCACAGTTAATTTATTTTTTGAAAGCAGACCCTTGCATTTTAATTATTTCCAAGGTTGACCCTTCCTACATTTATGTAATGGTCGATCCCTTACCAACGTCTCTTGTGCTAGGGCTTGTCATTCAAATGACAAGCTTGCTGAAATCTCGACAGAAGATCAGATTTGTCAAAATATTCGATCAATGTTGCTCTTACATAAATAAATTTTAGTGTGATTTTGCACTGTCTGTTTTTTTATTGGTAAAATAGTTTCATGAAAGGCATTTATATTTGCCGTGGAAATATCGACCATGACGAACATTTTTATGAGAAGACAGTTTATGTTTTTATGAGAAGACAGTTTTATGAGAGAGCCAATGATGCTGACTTCTATGCCAAAAAAAAAACGTGAAAAATGAATAAATTTTACCATATGGTTTGATTATTTGTAACGTCTTGTGAAAATAGTTTCAAAATAAAGTCGCCACCCGTTTCTGTGTGCAATTATACGTATGTGAGGGCGTGACTGTATATTTATGAATACGCAAACAAAACTATTATAATAGAGTGAAGATAAGTTATTTGTTTTCTTAATTTACATGTTTAAATAATTATTTGCTTGAAATTATTGGCAATCGTCTGGTTTACATTTTCTCATCTTGCAATGAAACTAAATTCAGGACATGCTGTAAAATTCTTCGCCTGTAAGCCACTTCGTTTTAGTTTTTGAAGTGAGGTCAGACAATGGCGCCATGTGCATCAAGTGTCAAAGCAGTACGTGAATTCATAACCTTGATTGGGTGCATATCCCAGCCTAAGATCATACCTCGACAACCCTTGCCCTGGTGGCATTTGTCTGAATGGATTTTATGTAAAGTAAAACAAGACAGCACATTATATTCCCCTGGATTTTCCTATTAAAGGCATCAACAATAATTAATGCATAGTTTATGTTAGAATATTGTATTTTTTAATAAATGAGTCAACCTTGCATGCAACTAATGAAGTCTCAGAGTTCAATAGGTCCGGGCTGTCTGATTATCATGATATAATTAACATGATTTAATTAACAGAAATAGTTAACATCTTGAACACTTAAATAATCAGACAGAAATTCGTGCTGTTTTGTTGATGCTAATTTTTTTTCTTAAAAAAATAATATTGCCAAACAAGATAGAATATGTAGGAAGCGTCAATGTACGGAAACGTTGTCATATACACTGACAGATGAAGCTTAACAACTATCCAGATCTAAAATGATGCGTTATTTCAACCTTAAAACATACAAAACATACATGGGCAAGCCGACAGTATCGGATTTTTTTTTTATTTAAGTATTGTCATGTTGCCAGGGAACAGGGCACATTTCGTAATACTATTTTCAGAAATATGTAACAAATCACCCAGAAATTAAATAAATCTTCGAAAAAAAGTATTTTACTAAGTGGGAAAAAATTGTGAACTATATGAAGGAACAAATGATTTTGTACAG